TGGTGTACTGTTGCTTCGGTGGTATTTTCAAGACATGCTAACCTTGAGCTGATGCTATAGCATCAAATAGTCTGGGGGATGTTCAATTCCTCAGAAACTTACAACAGATATAGCGTGTTTGGGCTCGTAAGAATAATCTAAATAAAAGTTTTCTATTAGAATTAGTGTCCACCAAATTATTAAAAAAAAAAAAAAATTAAAAAAATTAATGAAATAATATAATTTAATTTTTTAAATTTCAAAATTGATGTAGTGACAACTGGTGTGTGGAGTTATGAGTAGCCATTGATGTTCTTTTTTTTAAGTTGAAATGGCAAGCGTTTAAAGTATTTATATCAATATGAAATTTAAAAAAAAAACTAAATTTTAGTTTTTTTTTGGATATTTTTTTACAATTATATGACGGTGTAAGCTATTGTATAAAAATTTAAAATAAGACACGCCTATTATTCCCTATTGTCACGTTATTTGTTTTTTTTTTTACTGTGTATGTAAAGATATATGAGCCTTTTGTGAACCGATATGGTTTCGTTAAAAATTGGATAGTAAATTAAAATTTCAATGAATAAGCGGTAAATTTATTTATGTATATATTCAGCCTTTCTTAACGTCCCACTGCTGGGGGTGGGCCTCCCTTCAATACGATAGGGATCAGACCATAGTCCACCACCGTGCGAGTTGGCGGACTAAATTTTATTTATATTTTAATTTCATTTATATCTGAGTTATAACGTTTATTCTCAACAAAGCTAGTGATTATTATTCTGAAAATACTAATTGAAATAAATTCACAAAATGGCTAATTTTACATTATGAATAAGGTGGCTAACTACTATTAAACATCTAGATGTTTTAATAAACTTAAATGTCTAATATATATTTTTTCTTAATATTTATTTTAAAGTAGAATAGAATAATAATTTTCTTTATTTTAAAATATTTATTTAACAAGTTTTTTAAAGTTCTACGAGTAGATGGCGCCGTTACGAAATAATTCAAGCTATCGTTTAGTCACGTTGGAATTGCATAATATAGATATATGAAGTTTGAACTTTGATGTAGACATTTGAGTAACTGACTAAATAGAGGTCGTGGGTTCGATTCTTAAGTATATTTGAATTAGTTTTTTAGTTTTACACATAACAATCCGGATTAAAGCAGCAAACTTGTCAGTTCAATTCAGTTCTGCCATAGTGAGAAAAAAAACTATTTTTTATCAAATTAATTTATTGATGTTGACAAAACTTATCAAAAAGCATTTTAGCAAATACAAGATATGTCCTAAGAGGTATTTCATATAAAATACAAATTCTTTTCTAAAAAAAGTATTTAAATACAAAACGGAAATAGGTATTTTGTATTTTGCATTTCAAATACTAGTTTTAAATATATTTTAAATATTATATTCTTCTCATACTATTTATCCGGGTCATAATTTTATATTTAAAATAAAAAATAGCCTATATGTAATTTCACAGATTTTTCTATAAATATAGATATAAAAATTTAAATTATATACTTACATAAGTTAGGTGTGTAGTAGGCATTTATTAACACTTTTAAAATAATCATCATCAATCAAATATACGTAACTTTCCATGAAATGTCTTCCTGTAGAATAAAATTAATATTGTACCTAACTTAATTCGTGTTGTAAATAATTATAGATATATTGCTTCAAATGTTTATATATATATATATATATATATATATAATATATATATATATATATATATATATATATATATATATCGTAGTATGTAATAATAGTGAACTGTTTGTCCATTATATTTTGATTTAATATTTATTACGTACTGCTACCTGTTTATACGATTTACGGCCTGTGCACACGATGACTTTTTAACGCGACTTTGACGTCCATTTAACGCGTTGTCAACGTGCGTTTTACGCGCGTTACTATCGATACAAGTAAGAGTAAGGCGAAGCCGCATTTTTTTAAATTTATCAGCACACAATATGCGCGGATGGCGTATGTTCATGAACGCTTGTTGCCGGCGGGTTTATTACACGGTGTGCATAGACCCTAATGGTTTTATTGAAAAAATATAAATATGGTACATTTTACCTTCTTACCATATTTTTTGTTCACATTATTAAAAACGAATATAATCTTACTGTTTTAATAGCTTCTTAAATGTGAGATGTTTTTTTTGTATTTTTTTTTATTGTGCTTGCTTACATTTAAACACAGTGTACACAATACTATAGGTACTAATATTTACATATTACATACATTATTTTTTTCTTTTTCAGTAAATTAAGTAAACTTATAAAGACCACAAATCGATATTTTCAAAATCGATTATTTATTTTAAGTAAAATTTTAATTTTATATAGAAATATCTATGTGTAAGTTAATATTATGCTCGTTAATATTATTATTTTTACCTGTGATATTTTGTTATTGCTGTTAGTGTTTTAGAATTTAGAAAATAAATATGAAATAAATATAGTATGGATGTTTTATTTAGTAATCTAATGATTTTAAAACCACGATAGTGTTACATACATTACCGTGTTAAAACTAACTTTTCGATAGCCAAATGATCAAAATATATATAGGGTACTATAGCGATTAATCGCGATTTTTGTAAATATAATGTTCGATTTTGGATTTTAATTATAGTTTTAACGAATAAATGTTGTTAGATAAATTAATCAGTAACATAGCGTTTATCAAAACCATATCAAATTTCAGGATAAGTTTTCCAAATTCAAAATATTACAAAGGTACTTACTAGCTTTCGCTTGAATCTGTTAGTAAATTATGAGGATAAAAATAAATTAATCTTTATCCGCCTGTAAAAATTCCGCCATAAACAGTAGATATTATTTGTGGTTGCAGAATTAAAAGTATGGGAAAGAATAATATTAATAAGTTAAAAGTTTATACTCGTAGACTTTAGTAACCAAACAAACAAGCTTTGGTTTGGTTATAGTAACCAAAGCTGCCAAGAGATGGCGCTACAACGAAATAATACAAGCTATCGTTTGGTTCACCACAAAAGTATAAATATTCTTGAACGGACAATTCTGCAAAAGTACAAAAAATAAAAAATAATTTTTGTAAGTAATCTCCGCTTCCTTATTGGGTTGCGGGTGGATTACTTTTATGATTGTGAACTGATATTAAATTTATAAAGTCAAATGACTCATGGCCTTCGCTCCGCTCGGGTCGTCCCTAGTTAGTAGTTACGAATTACGATTAGTGATGTGCCAACTCGGAAAAAATATAACTCGATTTACTTTTGTGATTTGTGAACTTATTTTAAAACTTAAACTTTTTAAAGAATTTAAAAAGACTAATTTCTCACGGTCTTCGCTCCGCTCGGGTCGTCCCTAGTTAGTAGTTACGTTTTTATGTTTAGAATACAATATAGTATTATAGATTTCTCACAGATGAGATATTTTCCCGCAGTAAAGACTAAAGAGTATCCTATATGTCGACCCGGATAACCAGCTGTCATCATACCAAATTTCATCAAAATCTGTCCAGTGGTTCTCAGACAGAGAGACAAAAATACTAAAAACTATAGATTCGACCTCTGTATCGATAATAATGATTATTTCAATAAGATTTCCCAAAAAATGTTCGAAATTTCGACTCACGCTCGGGTTCATCCCTAGGTTGATTCCCCACACAAATCCCTTTAAGGGATGATTTCCGGGATAAAAAGTATCCTATGTCCTTCCCAGAGATAAATAATACACAATCTGGTGTATTCTTAGAAATCTAAGAACACACCAGATTGTGTATTAAGATGTTAAGATTGAAATGAGCACTTTTGCTTGTGCAGACTTTAAGGGGATCGTTTGAATTCTGTTAAGATGAATAAATGCGTAGTAGCTCTTATTAGTTTATTAGTCTTTATTCAAAACATTTTGCCAGTAATGCGTAACGTAAGGAGAGTACGCATGGAAACTAACATTCTATAGCGAGTTAAAAATAAGCCTGTAGAGAACGTAGTCCCTGTTTTCCAATTAGAGCACAAAAGCGCATTATGCGGCACAATGCTAACTTCGGATGTTTCTACTACAGCAACGCTCCGCACAATCGAGCATTTTCAAAAGTACTGCTTTGGTGTGATGCGCGCAAGGATACCAACTTAATGGCAGAAAATATAAGAATCGATGTGTGTATGTATGTTTCCTATGGACTCCAAAACAGTTGGAGCGATTTTGATGAAATTTTCAGGTAATCTTTAGATTAGCCCAGCGGGTGGTCCTGTGAAGTTTGGCAGTTTGGACGCGGGTAAAGCCGCGGGTACTGCTAGTAATTATATATTTATTTGTTATATATTATTATATTTATAATATAATTTACAATATCGACGATATGTATTATTATATAATAAATACATATTAGTTATATTTTTTTACTTCAACACTGAACCTTCTGCTGGTGCACTTGAAAACTAATTCACGTTCCATTTAAACATTAGCACACTTCGGCATTTATATGCTCTCTAATTGGAAAACAAAGAGTATGAGCTTTGTAAAGCACATCCACCTTAAAATCATACATACACGTATTAGGTTGTGAGTGGAAAAGTTACGGGTGCCTCTAATTTATATTTCTATTTCTTGTTTAAAATAATTATAGATCTTTCTAATTTATCATGGCATTTATTCAAAATAAGTTAATTTAAAACAAATACAATAAATATTTTTATTGTATTTACTTAGTTTTTGTTGTAATAGTATCCGATATTTTTTTAATCTGTTACGGTTTGTATAATCTGTCAATATTCGTGTATTTATTTTTTTCAACAACCTAATTTTACATGGTTTCAATTCAAGTAAATTAAACTATCCATTTATAATAATAAACTGCTGCCTCCTTATTATATCATTATTATGAATAAATATATAAATGAAAATTAAAAATAAGATTGTTTAAGTGCATCTAGAAGGTTATTAACAAAGTGTGTACATATTTGAATTTAATATTAATTAAATATAACAATTAAGATATAAATATGGAGAAACAAAAGAATAAATATTGTCGGTTTTGTGCTGAACTAAAACTATCAGAAAAAATGTTGAATTTATTGGACGCTGATATTAAATTTGACGAAGGCAAAATCAGTTTTTTAAGCACCATGTACATTGATGTCTTCAGTAAAGACTTACATTTACCAAAAACTGTATGTTTTGTATGTTATGAAACATTCAATAAGGCTTACGATTTCTTTGATAAAGTGAAAAAGGCACAATTGATATTAATTAATGTAATTAATGAGGAAAAATGTGAATCCGAGGACGACGATAAGATGACCGGTTTTGATGATTATATCGATGGTTCAGATTCAATAAAACAAGAATCTTCTGATAAAAGCACAACCAATGTAGAAAAAAATATGCAAAAAGTGGAAAATGTGGCTGTTGAAGTAAAAAAGGAGCCCAAAGACGAAATAGAAGTGGTCCTAGATAGCCAAGATGGACAACAAAGTGAAACTTTAAATGTACAAGATATCTTGGATGCAGCACTGTGTAAAGTGCCCTATTCCGATGTGATGCTGTACGCTAAAGAAGTGAAAGACACTAGCAAACGAACAATATCAGAATGGAAAGAATATCCATGGCTTTGTGCCCACTGTAACATAGAATTTCTTGATATAATTACTTTAAGACTGCATTCTAAAACAACTCATAATAAATGCAGTGCGTTTATGTGTATAGATTGTGAAAGTTTTGGTAATGCAGATTTTGATACATTTATAAAACATGTGAAAATGCATAGGAAAAGACTAAGGTAATTTTCAGTATTTTATTATATTTTTATAGTTTAGTTTTATTATTTTTATTTATTTGGTATGCTATGATAAATTAATATTTAAATATATTCTATTTTAACCATACACTACTTATAAATAATATAAACAAATAATCATCTTATTATGAGATAATTTTTACCTACATTAATATATACATTTTTGTTTTATTTTAGAAAAAGATGCCACTATTGTGATGAACCAGTAAATGAAGATTTATTATCTACACATATAAAAGAACACTTTTCAAAGAACCAGGTATCATGTAATATGTGTGGAGAAATACTAAAAAATAATGAATCCCTCCAAAAGCATCTTGGAGAATACAACTCTACAAAACCAAAGAGAAAACCTAGAAGAAAGAGAGGAACACCCTTGACCATAGAGGATTTGACTTGCAAATTATGTAAAAAAGTGTACAAGAACCCAAACAGTTTGCGTGACCATATGAAAATACATACAAATGATAGAAAAAGAAATTATGCGTGTGATAGATGTGGTAAAATGTTTTACAGTAAGGGAACACTTACGTCCCATATCATGGCTCACGATCAAATAAGGCCTCATATTTGTAGAATTTGTAACAAATCCTTCTTATTTCCAAACATGTTGCGAAGACATGTCGATATGCATTCTGGTGTGAAGCCATTTTCTTGTGAACAATGTGGACGATGCTTTAGACTACAATATCAATTAAACGCTCACAAAATAGTCCACACAGACTCTATGCCTCATGTCTGTCAATATTGCAACAAAGCATTTCGATTTAAACAGATCCTAAAGAACCATGAACGTCAACACACAGGAGCAAAGCCCTATTCTTGCCAGAGTTGTGGTATGGAATTCACGAATTGGTCAAATTACAATAAACATATGAAGCGAAGGCACAATTTAGATACTTCAAAGAAAAAGATTACTCCTGAAGGTGTTTTTCCCATCAACCCTCAAACGGGTGAACTGGTTCAGTACAATGACGCTGGAACTGAAGAATGGAAGACCAAGATAATGATACCAGGTAAAAGAGGAAAGAAGAAAGTTATAAAAAAAGAAGAAGTTGTGTAAATATGTATATAAATAAGTGTAGAACAAACTATTAAATGAAAAGCATTTTTATAACAACCCAAGTAGTACTTATAAAAAAACAGCCATGGCCTTTTTACCTAAGATGAAATTTTTTGTGGTATAATGAATGCGGCCTTATGGTTTTTTCTAAATAGATTTTAGAACCCTCCATCTTTTTAAAAGTGAGTTAAAAATGGTATATAATCACTATTAATTTTTATATAAAAGCTCATATAATACTTTGCTCTGCATATTATGTTTAATTTTATTTTTAGCCTGACATTGTAATTAATGCTTGTGAGTACAAACAAATATTTTAGTGAACATTCAGCCATATACTGCCTTATAAGTAATTTTTTTGAATAGTAATAAGAGAATTTGATATCTGCACAATTATGATATTGATAGCTGCAAGTAACATCTTTTTTACTTAATAATTTTAGGGTCCCGTAGCAAAGACTAATAGGGAACCCAAATAATTTTGCCATATTTGACTTAAAAAAAAAAAACAATCAAAGGTGGTCTTTTTCTAATTGAGGAGTGAAAATGGGAGGGGTGGTAAAAAAAATTGAGTCAACACAAATGTGTGGGGTGTCTGGTCTTATAATGAAGATAAAGTTTCTAATTGGCTTTTTGATTCAAGCCGTAAGATATTGCATAAAAATTAAAAAAAATCACGCATAGTCCCTATTCTTAAAATAAATTCACATAATAGAGCTTCACTCATTCATCCTTGAGTATTTTATAAAAAATATCAATTCATAGCAAACGGTTTAGAAGGTACAGTGTCAGTTACATGTTGAAGGTGCAATGTGCCATCTCATGGCTAGATACAGTTGTACCCTACTCTGAATGCTCTCTCCCGACTGACATAAAATTTGATATGATATTCGGTACATACTGCCGTCTCCACCTCTTTTTTGTCTCTAGACGTCTTGAGTCTTGACGAGATGACTATGGATTAGTAGGGTGTTGTAATTACAAAAAATTAAAAAAATAACCACTCGCGCGTTTTACCGCAGAATTAACTTTGTTTTCTCATAGTAATACTATTAAATACACACTAATTGTTTATACCGTCAAATTAATATCGTATATGGCCAAATATTTTATATAACTTTTGATTTGTATGTGAAAAAATATATTTAAATTCAATGTTTCATGCTACGGAACCCTCAATGTGTGAGTCAGACTAGCACTTGTCCACTTTTTAACTTGTACTTATGTGATTCTTTTTTAGACTGAGGCTATATGTACACAAGCGTGTCACGCGGGTCTCTAGCGTGAATTTAGATAATTTGGAGTAGAAAATCGATGAATATACAAGTAATATCAGATTTTCGAGCTTTCTACCACTGAAATTAAAAATTATATAAAGGACATACAATAACAGAGGCTCTGGGTTAGAAATAAAAAAAGACCTAACGAGAGGACTCGGCTTATGTCATTTAATATTTGGATTCTTCTAAAGCATTTTTTTTCTATGAGTTCTAGTCGTTTCGTACAGGTTGTGGTCACTGTTCTAACCTAACTAGAAAATAGAAAGATAGAAAGGGTTCTTTCGAGTAAGCTGATAAACTGTTCATTTAATTATTTTACATAAATAAAAAATAAATATTACTTATTTTCAAATTATATAACTCAATTTTTTACATAAATCAAATAAAAATTCGTAAATACATGTATGAAGTAAAAATAACATATTTCTATTTTAAAATTTTAATGATCTGATGTCAATTTTTACATTTAATATGCATAACTCTTTCTAATTATTAAACGATAAATATTCACGCTAGTTTTCAGCCAATTTATCTTGAAATGTATTCACGCTGGCGACATGATTGTATATTAGTCTTAATGTTTTTTTTTAATTATGTTCACCAAACGTTGAACGCAGTTCACACGATCAAAGTTTACTTTGACAAAGTAGTTTTGATGACTACTTTGACGCAACTTTGATCATGTAAACGAGCAATCAAAGCGCACTTTGACGTCGGCGCTCAATCAAATTGAACTTGGAGCCAAGTGCACTATATGTAAGTGCCAACCGTTATCAAAGTAAACTTCGTTTCAAAGCTTTTTTTTATATAATGGCATATAGTTGCGTTAACAGACGCAATCCATTCTGTCAGTGTCATGTTTTGTGAGGAAGACACGAATGAGATTGAGCCGGTAATTTTGAAATTTGGTAACTATATTGTGGAATTAAAACTATAAATAAATGATTTCAAAGCTTTTTGTCAAAGCAGACGTTGGGAGTGTCAACAGGTATCCAAGTAAACTTTGATCAAAGCTACTTTGTCAAAGCTACTTTGTCAAAGCAGACTTTGAACGTGTCAACGCTCTACGCGGCTTTAATAATGAATTACGATGTTGTTACTTGCAGCTTTTGATATGCAAATTTAGATTTCACACGTTTTACTTTTACATGATTAGTTTTTAAATTGTACTTATTTGAAATATTTTTTGAAATATTAATTTATAAATTTTAATTTTTTTTATTTTTTATTTATGATTTTTTTTAATAATCAATTACAATTCTTGCCCCGCTTATTTTATATTTAGTACTTATATAATTTTTTATACTATCAATTACATTTTTTTTCTTTTTATTAAATTCTTAACAGATGTCAGATGTTATCAATCATAATTTCTTATATTAATGTAATGTATTATTTATCAATAACTTCTAAAGTGTAAAATATATTTTAGTATTATTTGTAAGAAAAAATGTATTCTTTATTTTTCATATAATTAGTATTATAATTTAATTACATTATCTATTTAAATTGTGTGAACCATAGATAAATAATTGAAATTGTGAACATAGAAATGAAAGTGTAGCTGACAATTATAAAATATATTAAAAAAAATGGTTGAATTTGCAACACGCTTTTTAAAAGCACGCATTTTTGGTATTCTGGACATTTGTTTACAAAGCATTTAGATAAGTATAAATTATTGTTAATTTTATATCATTAATGAACTGCTTTATAATGTCGAATTGCTATTTAGGTATTATTGCGTTGTCATTGTCAAAATGTTTTTTTTTTTATTATATTGGCGTAGATAAAATTCCCCTACTAATACTTAGCAGTAACTATAAGTTAGGACTTATTTATTCACCTCTCGAAACAATATGTCTAAGGGACACATACTACGTGACCCATTTCTTTACAATTTTTTACCTCTTCCCGCTCCCCGATGACCACCAGTAGAATATGTCGAGTCAAAGCCCCCTCCCACCCACTCTCCCCTCTATAATTTTCGCGCAGTAATTTAGCTCATTTGTCTGTTAATATGGCGCTAGCCGCGTGATGCCAAGATATATTGTAGTTCGAACAAGAGTGAGATTTCCCTGAACGATATTAACTACGTGATGAAGACCTTAGATCTTACCCCCCACTTCTGTGACCAAGCGTGGTATTTTGAAGACCCCCCCCCTGTCCCCCCTAAACGGGTCATGTAGTATGGGTACGTTCCCTTAAAGTTGTGCGATCTATTGACAGCGAACTTGCGTTAAAAAAAGTTTTTCATTCATGAAATAAAAATATGAGTAATACAATTTATGATAAAATTACCTTTCTGTACAACCATAATGTAAATATTATTTTTATAAGGAATATGTACTAGACTATAGATTTAGAATAAAAAAAAATTAAAAGACTAATTTAATTTATTTAAAAAACAAACCTATCACACAGAAAGCGTACAATTTTCCGGAATAAGAAGTAGTCTCTTTGTTATTGTGATATATGAACTACATTATTGTAAAGTTTCATTAAAATCCAATCAATAGTTTTTGTGTACTAAGCTGTATAGGTTACTATAGTTTTTTAACTATCTCACGGGAACTCTTTAATTTTCCGGGATAAAAAGTATCTAAGATGTTGACCGGGGAAAACTTCATTTAAATCGGTCCAACATTTTCGGAGATTAGCCCGTACAAACAGAGAAACAAAAAAATTGAAAAAAACTGGATTTGTTCTATTTCTCTTCTTACACCCCCCTGACTTGGTACTTAGCATTTTTTTCTGTGTACAGGCAGTTTTATTATACGTATAGACTAGCAACATACCAACTGTCCTCTTGGGTGCTAGGTACTCCATAGTCTATTTATTGTATACTAAATTATATCGAAATCTGTCCAGCCGTTTCAACATGAATATTAACAATCATACCATACAAACTTTCGCATTTATAACAGAAGTCAGATTGTGTGATTAAAATATAAAAGTGCGTGTGTGTGCAATTCACACACGGTAGAAGTGAAACTTCGGAAAAGTAACCTACGAGAGAATGAAATGTATATAGAATATCAGGAGTAGGATAATAGTAATGTTTATTTTTTTTATGATATTTTTACCAAGTTTTTAAGTTATTTTTAACCGACTTCGGAGGCTCTTAATTCATCGGAAACTTTTTTTTATGTATGTATGTTCATTGTTCACCGATTACTCGAAGACACCTGAACCGATTTGGATTTTTTTTTCGAAGGGTATACTTCAGTCTAGGCACTAAAATGTAAAAAATAAGTAAACGGGGGTTTTCAGTTAGAATAGATACCTAATCAGATATTTTCAAAGTCGATGTCTGCCGACAATATTTTAGGATACGAATATCTAATTGGTAAATATGATTATATATGAACTCTAATATTAAAATATTATACATCCTTTTATGATGTATTTCACGTATCGAAATATATTAGATTTGCTTTGTATCGGCCATTAGATTATAATTGATTACGAGTAAAAAAAAATACATTAACAATTAGTTTACAACTTAAGATATTTTGAAGAAATAATTGCCAGAAATAATCTGTACAAGATTTGGACTAAAGCTAGAACTTATTTTATTAATCAAATAATTCAGTTTATGTGTAATATATATCATTATTTGGACCCGTCCACCACGCTAGTTCAAAATGAAGGAAAAGTTAAACAAAATTTTGAGAGGTACAGTTACGAGTTCAGTTAATTCATGTTAGAAAAACCATCAGTTGTCAACTTGTCATATATTGTAGTATCTGTCATGGGTGACAAATGAAGGGATCACAATCTGTCATGTATTGTATTTGTATGTACGCCTGTGATTGTAATTTATAATAAACAAATAATAATTATGTATTAGCAAATAATATTCTTCTCCATTCTACGCGATGTTGGAGAAATAAATAGTGCCCAAACGGCACTACTAGGGGCCATTGAATATAAGAATTGAATGTTTATAAAAATAATTATGTCGCAAAAAGATAATGCTTACTGTCGATTGTGTGCCATTGTAAATTCTGAGACAAACCTTGTGAATTTAATATCTGAAAATGATATTCGTTATTCAATAGCAAATAAATTGAAAAGATTTAAGATAGATATTGACTTTAATTCGCTAGATAATGGACTACCTAATGCAGTATGTTTAAATTGTATCAATTCGTTAAATAAAGCATATGAATTTATATCTGCTATTGAAAGAGCTCAGGTGATCCTCGAAAGTATAAAAGAAGAAGAAAAGATAAAAGTGGAATTTCATCTATCAGATGTTGATGAAAAATATGAATTGCCTTCATCTGAATTAGATGTGGACATTAAAGATACCAGAATTAAATCTGAAAGTGATAGTGAGACTTCAAAAAACAAGGAAGAAAGAGTAAAACATAAAAGGAAAAAAATTATAGAAAATTTAGATGGGATACCATTATCACAATTAAGACTCACATGGAAAGATTTTAACTGGCAATGTGCATATTGTGACTCATTATTTCCCTCTTTTGATGAACTCAAAACACATTCAGTTCAATTTCATGAATGTTGCAACCCATACAGATGTACAGACTGTAATATTCGTAAATTAAAGCTGGATAGTTTTATTGCTCATGTTAAACATCATCGAAAACACTTAAAATTATCATGTTATAAATGCCATAAGAAGTTTTCCAAGATAACTGATGCTAGAATCCATGATAAGTCTCACATTTTAACTAAATATGTTTGTTCAGGATGTAATGAATCATTTCAAACTTCTGATGAACTCGTTAAACACACCCAAACTTATAATCGAGATTTGAGAATAAGACAATTTCCACCCATGGCGTTACAAAATTTAAACGAAAGTCTGACTTGCTACATATGTCAGAAGTCTTTTAAACACAAAGGCACATTATCCACTCATCTTTTAACACATACAGAAAGGAAGCGAGAACACATTTGTGAAAAATGTGGTAAAAGATTTCTTAGTAAACAGAATTTATCCAGTCATATGAAATTACATGATGATGTTAGGCCATATCCTTGTGAAATTTGCAAATTTAGATTTAGGACACCGGGACAGTTACGTCTACACGTGGGAACTCATGATGGTGTCAAGCCATTTGAATGTGACCAATGTGGAAGATGCTTTCGTTTAAGAAAACAACTAGTAAATCACAGTGTTATACATACAGACACATTGCCATACGTTTGCTCATATTGTAACAAGGGCTTCAGGTTTAAAAACATCTTAACCCAACACATTCGACAGCACACTGGAGTAAGGCCCTATTCTTGTCAACATTGTGAAAGACAATTTACAAATTGGCCCAACTATAATAAACATATGAAGAGACGACACGGCACTAACATGGCAAAAAGGAAGAGGACACCTAAAGGTATATATCCTATTGACCCAATAACCGGAGAAACAATTATATATGAAGAGACAAATAAAACCAATGAATGGAAAAAGGAATTGCTGAAAAGTTCACGAAAACCTGGCAGACCTAAGAATCATAATAATATGTCATTAAACTGCATAAATAAGACTAATTCATGTAAATCAAGTATACTGAACGAAGCTACTCTATAATGTAAATATTTTAAAACTAAAATATGCAATCAGCCGTAAAGTCACTTCCTGCAGGTACATCATAACCCAATATATAATTAATTATTTTAAAATAAAACTTTTTAATATATTGTATATTTAGTTTTTTAACATTATAATGTTTTTCTTTGCAGGGATGTTAAGGAAATTAATACTCACCAAATTCACCAGCTAACATTCATGAAGTTGATATATTTATTAATTAATCATATTGTAAAGTACAAATTTAAAATTATTATGTTAAATAAATTTAAAATAAACTTGCAATAAAATTAAAACCATACATTTACGTATTATTTAAGAACACATAATTTCTAAGATTCCTTAGCCAATAAAAATATTATTTACAATAATAAAAAACCTGACTGCGTAAAAAGTGAATAAGACGAATACAAGTTGACGAAGACATACATAGGTAAGTAGTTCATAATAGCTGCGCGTGTGTGTATGTCTGCGAATGTATAATAATATGTTCCTTCGTCAATTTGCTTGCATCTTTTTAGTTCGCTTTTTACGTTTTAATTTTTATAATTTTGATATACCCAGTGACACTGTCACTATTAAGACGAATCTAACGACACCTCTCGAGCTAACATCCATCAAGCCGTTTAGACAACAGAGCGTGCCAAAGAAATATACATACATACATATACATCGAAAAACATAACTCTCCTTCTGGCAGTCGGGTAAAAAGAAAATGATCTTATACTTCGTCATTTGGCTGTATGTACAATACAGCCATTTTTCTCATACTGCGTACACACCAACCCAACGAACGCCAACGAATGGGTTTCGTTGGCCCTGTCTTGACGACTCAGCGAACATCGACGACCGTTCGTTGGCGTGTGCCTGCGATCCGAAGCTTGGTGGTAACGTCAAAGGAATGGAGCGATTAGATCGAGCTTAGTGTGGACGGTCACCGAAGGCTAACGAATGAACGGATTGTTTCACGATAATTTGTATCTTTTTTGATATTTCTGGTCCAAAACTATTGAACAACCATTCAAAACCTTGAAAAGAAAACTTTAAATTCTGCTAAAGTTGTCAAATAAACGATATTCTCTTTACTTGTAAGACTTCAATCATTTTATTCTACCATACACATTTCTATTCTTAAAATATATGCCATCTCCCCTTTCGTTTAATTTTTCTTGTCCTTGCTAACTCGTTAAGGTATATAAAACTAGTAATTGTAATTATTTCGTCGTCGTCCATGATCAAACTGCGAATGCAAGCCGGAATCAGGTGACAATCTCGTTTGCTCGACCCCTAAATATATTTGGACGTACCTTCGAAGGCCAACGAAGGTGCGGTAGCCAATGCTGAATATCCTTCGTTGGCGTTCGTTTAGCCGGAGTATACGCAGCAACTGAGACTGTCGAGCTATATCATCGTATTTTGGCCTATATATATATAGGACTTATTTTTGTGCTAATATAGCAAAACATCGAGGTGATATCTTTTCATTAACTATTTTTTTAACTCGACAATTATCTATTCCTTTTTCTATTAAATAAACTACGCGATCATAAAGAACGACATTTTCAAAAACTGGCTGTAAATAATTTTGGAGTAATATAAATATGGCTGCCTTTTTAAATGTCACTTGCGGAATTTGGCGCCAAATCGTTATTAGTTCTTCTACATCAAAATTTATTTTATCGACTTCAGAGTCTTTGTCAGTTTCATTATTTATCAATTTAAATCCCAAAATCGCATCTTGTATGTAATCCTCGAAGTTATTCAACATCATTGTTTTTAAACGAACTGCTTTGCGTTTGTTTCTTTTGATTTTACAATTATCTGAAAAAAAAAATACACTATTTAAAAAAACTATTAGTATATTATAACTGTGGCACTTGGCCATCGGACGGAAACATAATCATATAAGAATAATGTAGTATTTTAGCGCTAGCAGGTTAAATTTATGTATGCACATACAAATAATGCACTCAGAACGCCAACATTGAGGAAATTTTGAATTTGTAGATTCCTTTGCCGTGTGCGATGGTCAAGTCTTTCTATTTATTAAAAAAAATAAGATATACAATATTGATACGTTCACTAGAAAATGTTGTTACATACTAATAATTAGGTAACAATTTATGACAAAGTTGTCGGATAGATGCTTCCGGAGATAGGCCTACTGAATAAATTAACCGGCTTGGTTTTACATTAGATCTCACAACTTTTAGAGGTAGAAGAACTGCGTTGTGAGACTTGGATGTCTGTTATTATTAAGAGTCTACCAATCTAGTTTGAGTTTGAAAAAAATATTTGATTTTTACACAATGTTACGATATTTAAGACACACAATCTACATCATACTCACATTTTACACCATAAAGTTGTATAACAGCTCTCGCCAACAAATTAAAAACCGAGTTTTCTAATTTCTCTTCAGTGAGATAAGGAGGCTGTGACGCTAATCTCAAGAAGGGCACTGTCAACAAATTACATCCGATTTTTTCGTTTGCGCTTCCTAATTTTTTGCTAAGAGGAAAATTTTTTAATTTATCATTTTCACATATTAATCTATGATAACAACATGGCATTATTATAATTGCCTTTGCCTTTTCTATTTTTAGAAATATATTAATGGCGTCGATTGTTAAATCCGCACACGCGTGTAAACCAGTGATACAAAAACTAGTATAATTTGTAAATTTATCCTCTAAAAATTCTTCTATAATCATGTAAGAATCTTCTGTAATTTTATGCTTTATATATTTAACTTGTTCAATTGAATTTCTATAATATTTTCTTTGTCGTTTTTTGGCGGCAATATAATTATTTTCATTGCATTCTAATCCTAATACGTTGTAGTTGGTCGTTTCACACAAATGTTGATCTAAGTATCCCTGGAAAAGGAAAGAAAACACCTACTTATATATTTTGACAAAAATTCATTACTTTATCTACACTTTACCAGTAACAATATAACGTGTTTGAACGATAATGAAACGGCAAAATACAATGTGGTATACATCCCATATGACATTGGCTCCCATATGCATTATCAGCCATGATCCTAATAAACGCTAAATTACCTATACTCAGCTTGTTTCACCAGTCAAATATCTGTACAATGAATGAACCAGTCAAATTTGTACTATTCGGGAATCGAATTTGTGAATTATATGACACAAATAAATCTATACATATAATAAAATTGTAACTAAGCCGAATATATACATTAAATATTTTTTTTAATCTTATTGAAATAAACATTATTATCGATACCTAGGCCGAATCTATTAGAATTTTTGTCTGTCTGTCTGTCTGTTACCGCATCACAGAAAAACCACTGAATAGATTTTGATGAAATTTGGTGTGGTGATAGCTGGTTATCCGGATCAACATATAGGATTTTTACCGCGGGAAAATGTCTCATTTCTGAGAAAAAATACAAAAACTGTAATGTAAGAATATACTAATATGTAAACCCTAAGAATTTGGCTTTTGGTCATCTGAACGCGGGCAATGCTAGTATGAAATAAATTCCAAGTCGCACAATAACCATTTCGAGTGGCAGTACTCAGAAGTAGAGTAAGAAACTGCTAAAATTGTTTTAAGAAAAAAACCATATTTTCTTACCAATCCAGATCCAAAATCGACAACAGTGTCACAGTGTGTTTTCTTACATAAATTATCTATCTCTTGCGCTAAATATGCTATTTCATGTCCCTTTTTGAAACTCAATGGCGCGTCAATTAGATAATCCATTTGTGTTCTTTCAAATTTTTGTAAATCCGGTCTTAACCTTTTATACATTTCAAAGAATTCCAATAAATAATCACTTTTCAATGATAAAATATCAAAATTGTCATCGAAAACATCGATATTTTCTAAATCTTTTATATCGATTTCATTCAAGTTGTTATTAATCAATATATCTGTATTTGAAAAGTTAAATAGATGTTCATATTTTCTGAAAAATGTGAGGCTCTCTTCGAAATATTTTAAAGAGCTTTCAAAACAAGATGGCAACGCCATGGTTTATCTGGAAAGAAAATTTTAAAATTTGAGCTAAATGTTGTAATTATTGAATACGTACTACTATATACGCCATATAGTTATTTATAGAATCGCTAGCCCCAGTATCTATCGGTAAAAGTGTAAACTGCAGATTATAATCAGATGCAATGTAGATAAAAGATATATAGAGTGCATTTGCGCAATAACGCGCTTGTTCAAATATTGTCTACCAAATGGCTTACATGGAAGCTATGTTATTGACTCTATATTTTAATAACCTTGGTTTGTAATTAACAGCGAAATACATTAAAATATTATACATTAACACTATGAAGAAAAAAATAAACAACACGATATACTGAAACTGCCAAAAAGAATTTAGTTCACATCGTAGTAATACGAGTAGTGATCTCAATGGAGTGTACACACTCTGCGCCAAAACAGAACATATCGGCTTAAAGCTATACTTTGGGGATTATGAATGAATCAAAATTTTTTTTATGAAACACGTAGTAATAAATTACATAACTATTCGAGCTTTACAGATCGATCGAAATCCGTTTATTTTAAAGAGAAAAAAAATTATTACCTGATTTATGCCTGTTGTGTTGTTTTATGTCTTTAAAACGTTAGCAGGTTAGGAACCATAAGCCGTAAAATATCCCCGACGTCCAGCCATTTTTCAAGATTTTCTTCATAAACCTGCATTTTATTGATACACTAATGTAGAAAATTGTAGGAAAAAAACAATTTATTTATGGATTTTCAAAGGGCTGTACCTCAGCGAAAAATAATCATATCGGCATGAAAAAAAGTATTTTATAGCTTCAAGTTTCTAGTTTTAAGATATTTATTTTTACATTTGCATAATCATAAGAAAAAAGACGTAAAAAAAGTAGTAAATTTTATGGTTTTGTTTTTTCATTAACGAACTTAAAAAAAATAATTAAATCATTAAACGAATTAGATAGCATGTTTATTCAGCTTTAATTTGATATGTTCTTCATCTCTTTATTAGAAGTTTTTCCTGAGATATTCTCCAAAAAAAGTGGTCCTTTTCTTTCTCTTTAATCATCCATATCTTAGCAATTAATGGATGCACAGTAGATATAATATAATATATAGAATTACAAACTTTAGTGTACCATTTTTTTCGAGTTTTCCTGCAAAATACATTGGTGTAATCAGTTTATAAAAATTTGGTCAATAAAGCACACTTTTTCAATTATTATTAAAAAAATTTCATCACAAAGTAAAAATTATCGATTTCTCCAATTTTTTCAATTTTTAAGGATGTTTTTACAGGGGGGCGGGCCATCGAATGATTTTCTTTCCTCGAAAAGTAGAGTTCAAGACGAAAAAAATGAGCCCTATCTGGAAATTGAACGATTTTTTTAAATGTAAACATCCATGAAGTTCGGGGTGATCTTCAGCCTTCCGAAACCACATAAAACATAAATTTCTCGGAAACGGCTAAATATTTTAATTTTTTTTTTTTTAATATTATATGTATTTCGAGCATTACATTCCCCTATAGATATTTAAGATAAAAAAAAAGAAAAAAAATTTAAAAACTGGATTTTTGCAAAAATCCCGAAAACTTTGAGGTTATTGTAAAAAGTGTCATGAATAAAAGTTGTAAATTTTTACTAGACCTACAACTTTTAGAAAGTAGAGAACATTTTTCGATAGGACGTCACAGCCAGAAATTAAAGAAAACTATTTTTGAACGCTTTTCATCCCCCCATTTCTTGGGCGTAGCTTGGATATCGGGGGCATTTTACGGATTTTTGTTCTGCTAACCTTTTAAAGATATAAAACTTCAGATTTTAATTTTTTTTTGTTTAATCTCGCGAAAATAAAATACAACGTAGAATTAAAAAAAAATCCACCTGCGTACAAACTAAGAGGATGGAAATAAGTTGATGAAGAATCGTAGTATTATGCAAGGACATGCACATAGCAACACTTGCAGCTAGTATAAATCACGTTTGTGTTAGGCTGACACACAGACAGATATTCAAGATACATTTACATGGGTCCCGATTTAACGTAGGCGTTTGCATTGCGAAAAGTTCATATGTCAAAGGTCACGGAAATATGTTTATCACAACTTGTTCTATTTTTCATTAAGATACATTATAAGATCTCATTATCTCTACATCTAAAATAGAATTAAAAATTAAAATTTTAATCATTTATTTTATATGTAAAGCCATCTTTTGATTTTTGGTTCCCGACGTTTCGAATACTTTACAGCAATCCTGGTCACGAGAGTTTTATTTTAAATGTCAAAATTCGCGTAAATCTAAGAGAGTATTATTTCATATGATTAAGAACATGTACTTCTCGATTCGTTTAACGTTAGCCAATTATAGAAATGCTTCAGACAAGAAGCGGTATCTACTCGAAACCCTTATCTTTTGATCTTTATGGAATCTCAGATCACCGACATTTTGTTTTTGCATTTTGCTATATTTTAGTACATATTTATAAAAAATGAGGTCAACCATAATAGCTTCATTCAATTTCAGTCTGACATGGGATCTGTATTCTGTAATACCAAAACAGAATTATCAATACAGATAAATAAATTGAAGTGTCTGTTTGTAATGGGAAAATAACAAACAGCCTTTTACTAAATGCGTATGAAAGTTTTTACGGTACTTATAAGAAAAGAACAATTTTTAAATTTGCCTGTTTGTTCCGGCTAATCTCCGAAACGGCTGGACCGATTTTGACGGGACTTGCACTGGCTGATAGCGGACGTTATAAGGAATAACTTAGGCTACTTTTAATTTGGAAAAAAGATCAGGGTTCCGTGCAAATAAGTTAAAACCCCTGAAATCGTAACTGTATTCCGCGAACTTAGGGCGAACCGTAACTGGTTTTTTTAAATAAAACAACCGTATATTCTAAAATATTTATTAACAGTCTCAACATTTGTTATATTTTGAAATAAATTATAGAATTCTTATTCCTATAGAAAACTAATAAGTCTAATAGGAAATAAATTTTCATTTTGAGACATTTAAGCGGTAAATTACAATTAAAAAGTCCATTAACTAACAAGTTGAAACCTGTCCGGATTAGAACCTGCACTAGGCATATTCTGCCTCTTGAAATTCTTCAAGTGTAATACTATATTCTACAAAAGCAACTCTATTATCATAAGACCTGGACTTAGTAAAGTTTTAGTGAATCTAATAAAAACATGACAATAATTACAATCAAATATAAAATCAATGCTGTATATTATATATTTCTCATAAACGGATTGATACTCAACTTGCAGTTGTCTTTGGAATAAAACCATACAATTACTTAGTCTGTAAAAAAGAAATATTAATAAACCAGAAAGATTTCAAGACATCAAATTTAGCGTTAGAATTCTATATCTTTATATAAACCAATGCAACTATAGAAAAATGAGGATATTTATTATTATATGTTATTGGCGAAAAAAATCAAAATTGATATAGAATCCATTTACTTATGAGATAATCTTAGAAATATTAAGTAAGTTACTTTTAAATAAAACTATTTTTTGGAAAAACTGTATACTCCCCGGTGACCACGATTTCTGTAAATCGAAACCCAAAATCAAAATGAATCTGCGAAAAAATAGTTTTATTTAAAATGTTAAATATTCGTGTAAACCTAAGAAAGTATTAAATCCTTCGGGCGGGCTATCACCTAAGACATAGTAAGACACACTATGATAAAAGGAGACTCTCAAGTCTTGTATACGCGATGTAAAATACTAAAGAAAACGTTATCATATGGAGCTTTTTTTTTAAATTTAAGACGAGACTTATAAGGTTTGGGTAATATCTCTGCAAATATATCTAAAAAGATTTCAATTAAAGAACAATTAATTCGCTAAGTCTACGCTTTGTTTGGAAGCTTCTTAAACACCTTATGAATTATTTATTCGTCAACTAAAGGACTTTAGTAAGTAAGGCGTATTGTGTAAGACATTGAATTATATACATAAAGCGTCAGTTTTACACTGTACTGGTTGTGTACTGTTCGCAATCTTAAATATTTCATTTAATGTATCAATCGCAACAAAATTAATCACTTAAATTTGAGTATCACTCAAGAACGTACTAGATACACAATCCCATGCAAAAGTTCTCTTAAAACTGTCACCAATTGCGTTTAGGTAATTATTTTAGTAGAAATAAATATACAACAATGTAAGTTGAATATTAAATGTTGTTTTCACAAAATCTTTTTTAAATTAAAAACGCGCTCAAATGTTCAAATGAGCTCTCATTTGGTTAGGACATTTTTTGTCTCTTATTGTGTATCTAGTACTTTTTTGATCGATGACCTATCCTCATTATAATCAAAGTTACAAAAAAGTATTTCTTTCCATTTTATTCTTGAGGGCCGCTAATAGTTTCCCAAGTTTCGTTATCTTTTATAATTTGTTGGGACGCGCCTTGCCCAATAACACTTTTGCCAGCCCATTTACTTGCACCTAGATACTTGTCGCATACTTCGATTAAATCTTCTTTCTTCACTGCTAGAACTCGTGCTCTCTGTGTCTGCCAGATATCGTAGGACAGACCGCATAAGAATAATTCGACTCCCTTCATATATTCTGCAACTGGCTGGTCCATTTGTTGCAAAATTGACAGTTTTGCTTCGAAAAGATTCTGATCACCGACTAGATCTTTGTTTTTGGTCATCCAATCTGTTGTTTCATCAAATACATCTAATGTTACTCGGGAATTTGGATCTCTGTAGGAATAATAATTGAAAACTCCATCTACCGTTAACATTGCTCCCCCGCCATATGCGCCATTTTGTTCTCTTACGATTGGATGAAGATATTTGGAAGTCAAAAATCTAGATAGTACTCTCAATTTGGCATAATCAGGGTCAGTATATGGCACTGTTGGTATAACTTTTGAGCAGAAATTGACTGGGATATTCATAGAAATGTGAACACCCCTGTTTTCTTTTTTGGGAGGTTTAGAATCTGTCCAATTAATTCTGTTGACATCCTGCGCATCTTCATTGCACAAATTTGTGCAAAAATTGTCTATTATCTCACGCAAATTTTCATTAAAATTCGAGTAGTGGAAAGCTGCTCTAAGATTATTGCCTTTCAGAACATCTTTAGCAATCAAACCAACAACTTCTTGAATATCCTCAATTTTGTATTTCTTTTGTATGTCCTGCATATTCATAATATGTTTGATTCCTACTAGATTTTCTTTGCATTCATCAACAGATGAAATTAGCGATCTCGCTGCTTGCATTGCATATGTATGGCCACTGTCGATAATGCCATTAGTTAAGGATGAACAATAGTTATTCATAAGCATGGTCATTCTTTCATTATTATCGAAATTGGGCTTATCAAAGATTTCTGACCAAATATCCAGCATTTTGGGTAAATTTTCATCAAGACAATGACTACTGATGAGAATACCTTGTTCAAACTGTTCCTGTTGACCAATATGCTCTGTTATATGAGACACAAAAGAAAGTCCAGAAGTGGATTTGCTAACATACTTATCGAAATCTCTGTAGTTATAAGATTTTGTATCAAATTTGTCCAAAACATAGATAAAGAATGGCAAAAGCTGTCTTTGCTTTTCATTTAAGCATTCAGTACCCAACACCCCTTTAAAATAAGTAACTCCATTTGTATTCGCCTCACATAATTGTAATGGTATAGTTCCCGAGATAGTATGTTTTATGGTTGGTGCAGTCTTATTTGATGTTATGTCATCAATTTTCAAGCATGGCAACACATCAAGGTTCTGAATTTCTTTTTGAGCTTTCGAAAGTTCTATACCATTTGCAAAAATTTCCTCTTTCTGATCGGGAGTTAGGTTTTTTACTTTTGATTTTAATAATTTGGCTTCAGCATCATTGAAAATATCATCAAACTTTGGATCTGGTTGCATTGTCATAATGAGTTTGTGGTTGTTCAGAATGAAATACTTTTCGATAACATCTTTCACATAAGCAGGATTCATAAGATCTGTTTTTAACTGATCAAGCAATGTATTCACTTTCATAGCATTGAGTATCATTCCACCATGATTCCACAATGGCATTAAATTGAATAACAAATTCAGACCAAATTTAGGGGATTGATGCTTGATAGACAGCTCAAAGCCATGCAAAACGCTTTCAATATGATTTTTCTCAAAACCTTTAGTAAATATTTCTTCAATAGTTTGATTTACAATCTTTTCGACTACTTCAAAATTTGATTTCTCCACATCTCGCAAGCCAACAACAAATAGTGTATCTCTAATTTGATTTTCATAACCTGTCAACGCGTTATATCCTCCAGAAATGTTTTTCTCGATTAAGCTTTTGTAGAAAGCTGAATTTGGTCCAATTATCATTAATTCTGCTAAAGCAGTAAGCATGAAAGTCTCGTATATTTCTGTTACATCAGACATTACATAACCTAAAGCGATTTGGTTTTGCTTATCCACTGGACCACCATACTGGTCAACTCTGCATGGTGTAGTTGCTCTTTTAGCTATCTTCCATCTCTCTTGAGGGGTTACTATTGTGTGTTTGGGGTCTAAAAATTCATATTTACTCAAATACGTATCATTTACAAATTTCAGGTTTTGTTCGAGTGGGAAATTACCGTAGGAATATATCCTTGCATTGCTAGGATGATAGTAAGTCGAATGGAAATTCTTTAAATGCTCATGTGTCAATTCTGGAATGCATAACGGATCACCACCAGATACATAACCATATGTACCTTTCGGTAAAATTGTGTTGATAAATTTCTGGCCAAAGAGGGAACTGGTCTCTGAAAAAGCTCCTTTCATTTCATTGTATACTACACCTTTAAATACCAAATCTGATGATTTGTCATCTAGTTTAGAATGTTCTAGACGCCATCCTTCTTGTAAGAAATCTAATTTGGATAAATTTGGTTTAAAAACAGCATCTAAGTATACTTTTTGCAAATTTCTGTAATCTATCTCATTTTGTGAGGAAAATGGGTAGAAAGTGTAATCTGGGCCAGTTAAAGCATTCATGAAGGTTGCTAATGATCTGTTCAACATTTTGAAGAATGGATCTCTAACAGGATATTTCTCAGAACCACAAAGTACAGTATGTTCCAATATATGTGGGGTGCCCATTGAATCTTGAGGAGTAGTTCTAAAGCCCACAGAAAACACATTATTGGAATCATCTCTTTCTAGATGTAAGTATTCAGTCTTTGTTTTTTCATGTGTAAGATAGTAAGCTGTCATATTATACTCTTTAATGGGTTCAATATCATGGCAAATAAAACCGTGATAAATTTTGCCAGGCTGCAAGTTATTTGATACATTTTCTTTCTTTTTTAGAATACTGCCAGCATAACTCCTGTGATTCAACAAATTTACACGTTTATGCAAGCCGCTCCAACCGCATTTTTGAATTCTTGAATACATTTTGCTGAATTATATTTTCTTTTTTGTTTGATTCCTGCAACACAATAATCACTCACTTTCACTAATACCGAGAGAAGACGAAATTCAATATAGTAATGAAGACTATTATATAAAAATAAATTAATTAGATCGATATATAAAGCGATTGAAAACAAATGAAAAATGACGCAATATTTTTGTACTTACTAATAGTTTTCTCTTCAAATATACTTATTAGACAGAGGTATTCGTTTCTGCTTATATGCTTTTAAATGATGTAATTATAACACCAAATATATTATATCTCATATTTTCAACAAATTAATAACCTCACATGAACCGGGCAAGGATGAAGGATTCTTATAAAACTTTTCTTAAATGTTACCCGATGTCAGCCAGTGTTACCAGAAATAATTGGAGAATATCTCAAAATAGCGACAGTTTTTTGAAAATACCCCATGTTTACATATTAAATATAATTCAATTGAATTCTTGATTTTATGGCTTATAGGAGTGCCAGTCAAACACGATATCATATAGATGAAAAAGTATAATATATTTGGCATAAAAAGTAAAAAAAGTTGTACCATTCCCAGTTAACATAATTTTTATAAGAAACATATAATACAAGAATAGTTCAATTCTAAATAATATAATGGAAAAGCAATATAATCAGTTTTTATTTCATTTCTATCATTTTTGCAGTGTCATAATAACTTATTATTACACTCTACATCGAGGAAGTTGATCTAATAAAATTAGCTCAATGATATCAATATCTGCTTAATTTAATGTATTTTTGAAAATAAAAAATATAAAAATAAGAAATGATTAATTTGATAACGGCAACGTTGATGTGATAAAACTGTAGTTCCCCTAATCCTTAGTACAAAAAAAATTGTCATTGATTATACACATCCTCAAATGCAATTATTAATTTATACATTTGTATATTTAAGACCATTCAAAATACATTTAAAAATAAAAATTATATTGTAGACAAGCCGATCAAAAAATATATGATGTGTCAATAGAAAGTGAAAGAATAACCTGAGCCTTTTCTCTTTCTGTTTATTATATAGGTAAATCTTTCTTTTTATTTTTCAAAATAAATCCGTTAAAAAATCCAAAAAGATAGTTTTATTTAATTTTTTTTTTATTTTATACGTATATTAAATGACGTAAAATATATATAATAAATTAACTTAAATTAAATTTTATAAATTTATTTTTTAGTGGGCAATAAGAATTGTGCGTATTAATATAAACGAAATAAAGTTTAATTTCATAAAATATGATTTTAATATATTACAAAACTTAAGACATTTTTTATATAAAAATAATTCTTTGTTACTTAATGAGCATTTCTTTTAATTTGAGCTATGCGCCATACAAAGTCTAATAATGCAACATCACGTCATACAATTAATCTAGGCAGTCTATATTTTCTATTTTTTTTTCTTCACGCCTCATCGCCACTGCATGACAGTTACCTACTCTATGTTTTTATTTGTCAATTGTCATTTGTCATCCATGCTGCCTTTTTCATTTGGGTGATACACATGTGTACACGTGTGGTGCCTAAAAGGAGTCCAAATAGCTACAAAACGATTCAAAATGAGTTTATATAATTTTAAAAAGATAGCTGTCGTCCCTACGGCAAAGGCAAGTGACTTTTGGCCCACAAATTACAATATATTTACAAATATTTGTAATTTTTCAAACATAACCTAAATTATTGTATTGTTTTCTAATTTTCAGGACTTCATTGATATTATACTTTCCAAAACACAAAGGAAAACACCAACAGTGGTACATAAACATTATAAAATAACTAGGATTCGTGCATTTTATATCCGTAAAGTGAAATTTACGCAACAGAATTTTCATGATAGGTTATCAAGGATTATACAGGTACATTTTTCTCTCAATATCTTATCTTTTATTTCGAAATTGAGTTATTATTTTTATATAAAAATTGCATTTTATATAAAATTTATAAATTATAAGAGGTAATTCATAGAAAGAATTACTGAAACAACTCTAATAAAATTTACTATTTAGTTTTACATATAAATTTTTGTTTGTTGCATAATTTTACGAAACATATTTTGAATGTTTATTACATCTTTCAGGAATTCCCTAAACTCGATGATGTGCATCCATTCTATGCAGATCTTATGAATGTATTGTATGACAAAGACCACTACAAGCTTGGTCTTGGTCAATTGAACACAGCGAGACATCTTATTGATAAGTAAGTAGTGATAAGATTTCTCGTTTTTTTTATATTTCATAATGTTATGTAAACTTAAATTAGTTTGTAGGAAATAGGGAATATGCATGTGATTTAAATTAGGGTAAAATATATATTTTTTATCAATGTTATTACTTTTAAATTATTCCTATATTTAAATATACTTTTTAATGTAATTTCTTTATGAATAAGAAAATAATTATTAAAAAGTTTAATAACATGTGCAAAATTCAAAGTAGTTAAAATGTAACACCATTGGTCAGACCATATGTGACGTCAACCAACGATATAACAGAACCAGTACTGCCAAGTTATCTCTAAAAGTGGCAACTTATTTAAGCAAAATTTATCATTTTTAGTGCTTAATTGGTAGCACTGGTTCTGTTATATCGTACTTTGACGTCACACCAGTGAGTGAAATGACAGGTGTTTAAAGTATACATATCAATATATTTTTAAAGTTTTTTTAATATAAAATGTTAGTTATTTGGAGCTGGATATTTTTTTACAATTATATAACAATGCAAGCTATTGTATAAAAAATAAAAAAAAACATCATGCATATACCCTATTCTATTCAGTGTGTTGTTTATGGTTTTATTGTTTATTTAATTTAATAAAATAATGTTTTCTCTCTGAACATTATATATATTAAATGTATTTTGTGATATTCTAGCGTAGCAAAAGATTACGTCCGCCTTTTGAAGTTTGGCGATTCTCTGTACCGATGCAAGCAGTTGAAGAGAGCAGCCCTAGGTCGCATGGCCACTATCATGAAGAGGCAGGGTGCTAATTTAACATATCTTGAACAGGTAAAGCTATTTATATTACATATATTAATAATAAATTTAAATAAAAAAGTAAACTAAAAACATGAGAACGAGTTGATGAAGAAACATATTGACATAATGTATGTGTATGTATGTATGTTACGTATGTATGTATGTTTGTGTGTATATTTATATATTATTTATTGATGTTTTTAATTTGTACCTACACTGCACCTCATTATTATTTTTTTCTCACACTCAAGGGTTTATGGAAGAGATCTCTTATGAGTTTCCTATTTTATATGTTTTATAATAATATAAAGAGACATACAAGACACTTAGCAAGACTCGCAGCTAGTAGAATAAAACATGTACATATGTCTCTGACTGCATAATACAATTCCTTCGTCAACTTGTTATCGTCTTTTTAGTTCGCTTTTTATGCTGTCAGTTTTTTTTAGTTTTGTAAATCTTTTTTTTTTTCATTTATAACTTTTTAGTTTTTGTCAGTTCAATATTTTTAGTTTTATTTAACAATTTCTTATCATAAATTATTTTTAAACATATAAGTTGTGTATTTGTGTGTGTGTTTGTGTGTAAGTGACCTGTATTTTTATACTCCATTCGATTGATTTGAAAGACATTGTTTACACGCCTAGGATCCGCCGTCTTGATTTTTAATGATATCCATATACCATATGACACTCGCGTTATCAAGACAAACCTAATGACGGATGAATCATAAGAATCGGTCCAGCCGTTTAGTAATTACGAACATACGGTTGGACGTACATACTGTGATGTAGCGAATGTTTAATTTTTCACGATTATGACAACGAATGCAAATGCGAATATTCATGTCCAATATTATTTGTTTGGTTTAATTTGTAGTGAACCTACTTGCTTTCCCAGCGGTCACGGGTTCGAATCCCGCTGGAGGCATTCATTTGTGTGATGAGCACGAATGTTTGTATTCCAGTCATGGGTGTTTATATTTATAATATGTATGTATTTTAAAATCTATATATGTGTAGTGTATCAACTATATGGAAACCATATTCATAACACAAACCTCGTAGCTTACCATGGAACTATATGGTGCTATTTATTATATTAATATTTGATTATATGAATTCGAATGTAAATATTCACGTCCAATTTTCGCAAATACGAATGCGAATGTTGACTTTATTTAGTGGTGCTGGACTTCATTGCCTACAAATAAATAATTAGAAAATGGCTGCATGGCGAAAGAGTTTAGTTAAATTATAATTGTACTTGTTAACTGTGTTTATAATATATAATTGTGTATTAAAATTCATCAACTTTAATTCATAGAAAAAGAAAATATATAGTGAAAAAATATATTATTGAAGCCAAAGGTTAAAGCCAAATACATAACATTTAGGATATAAGAAATTTAATTTTGCTACAAATATTTTTTTATTTTCTGTCAAAAGAAATTGTAAACTTTATTTAAAAATAGTAGATATAATCTGCTAAATAAGTACAGACCTTACACAATTGTAACAAGACTTATTAGACCCAGATATTATTATTAATTTAATGAGACCTCTCAACTTGTTTTTTCACCAAAAATATTATAATTTAGATTTTTCTTTTATTTAAGCAAGGACATTCTTTTTTTTTCAATTTAGTTGTATTTTTTTTTTAATATTTTAATTACACTAACAAGAACAAACGAGAATGTATTTATAATTTAGTTGCCTACCTCAAGACTGTTCCATGATCATTTTTTTATTCAAATATAAGTAAATAAAAAATATATAAATCTTATCAGTTATAATATCATTCCATATCCATCCATTCCATATATAATTTCCTTTTTATTTGTCAAATATATTCGCCGAACATTCTCATCGTTGCAAATACGCATGCGAATGTCAAAAAATATGCGAATTTACGCGAGTGCGAATGCGAATATTCGTTACATTACTATTGGTACAGCCGCACTCAACGCGAATGTATTCGGGCGATAAAACTTCGCATTTGGCCGACGGCGAATGTGCTGCATTGTATTGTAAAGTTTATCGCGACAAGCAAACGCAAAAAAACAAGATGGACGCCGCGGTTTTATTTTATGCCATATGAGATCCTTTCTGTTCTGGCTGGCTTCTTTCGGGTTCCATAATATCGGCTTAGACTCGTAATTTATACATATAATAAAATTGTAACTAAGACGAATCTGTACATTAAATATTTTTTGGAAAATCTTATTGAAATAGACATTATTATCGATACAGAGGCCAAATCTATAGTTATTAGAATTTTTGTCTGTCTGTCTGTTACCGCATCACAGAAAAACTACTGGAGGGATTTTGATGAAATTTGGTATGGTCTTTTCACCGCGGGAAAATCCGCGTCCGCTACGCACGATATCTGTGGGCCGAATGAAGTGTGGCCGCGCAAGCGCAATTCATCGCGTTAAAACGCTTTCATGTGCGAGAGTTTACTGACAGCGGAACTATAAGCTTCGCCGCAGTCGGTTAATAAGATAAAAAAAAGTATTTGATTTGTCATGGTTATTAATTAGCATTAATCACTTTTCAAAATCTTTTAGAGTCTATATAGGAATATTCAATTATTAATTGTTATTTTTAAAAGTGGAAACAATTTTTAACCGACAAAAAAAGAATAGATTCTCAATTCGACATGTATATATTTTTTTGTTTGATCATGCCTAACTTTTTATAGAGTGGTCCGATTTCGATGATTCTTCTTTTAACGGATTGCGTATACCTCAAAGTAGGTCCCATTTAAATTTAAAAAAAAAACCACCCCTAAGTGTATAAATAGGGGTGATTGGTTTTTGACCTACTGAATTTTATATGCATAGAGATATTTTTTTAAGAATATGTTCTGTTTAATTACATTAAAATTTTATAAAATAATACAGGTAGTTAAATAATTTTAATTTATGGATAAAATAAGTTAAATGTAATTTAATACTTTCTTAGATTTACGCGAATATTTGACATTTTAAATAAAACTATCTTTTCGGATTTTGTCGCGGATTTATTTGTATTTTTGTTTCCCGACGTTTCGAATGCTTTACAACATCCATGATAAATTACTATACAACATCGATAATAAATTAAAAAAAACTGTAATACACTATTCTTGTGGGATAGGCAGACAAAATAAAGTGTTAAATATTTATATATTTCTATATATTATAAAGCAAAGAGTTTTTTCCACTTCCATTTGTTATTTTTTTAATTTGTTATTGTATGAGTGTATTTAAAAAAGTATATTATAATTTTAAAAAGTACATTAATACTATTATATATATTATATTAATATTATAAATGCGAAAGTTTGGATGGATGTTTGTTACTCAATCACGCCAGAACGGCTGAACGGATCTGGATGAAATTTGGCACAAAGATAAATCATAGTCTGGAATAGCACATAGGTTACTTTATATCCCGATAAAATGTACGGGTTCCGTGGGACAGATTTGTTTTTGTTTTATATATATTTTTAAATTATAATTATACATTACAGGTCCGCCAACACTTAGCTCGTCTGCCGTCAATAGATCCTTACACTAGAACCATTATCATCTGTGGTTTCCCAAATGTCGGCAAGTCCAGTTTCATTAATAAGGTACGTTATAATACACCCGCCACGCCAAATTTGTCCAGTGTGGTGGATAATGGCCTTATTCCTATATATCACATTCACATAAGATTTTGCACTCGGCTTGCATCATATAAGGGAAGCGGAAAAAAAGAAGCCTATCTTGATTCCCATTAAGCATTCAATGTCTTGGCCAAATTATATTATAATTAGACTTGCAGCGAATAGTATATCCGTACGCCGAATACCGAATATTCGATGGGCTTTCTGGCCGAATAGCCGAATATTAGGCAATATTATTCGGTCAGCGCAAGAACTTGTGGTGGGAGAACTTGTATCGAAGTTTTTGTTCCTAGCGTGGCGCCAGGAAGAATTTATTCAGAGCTTATTTTCTCTGAAGCTGGAATTGTTACTTATAAATTTAAATTATGATAATGAAATTGCATAGAAATTTATTTAAAAGTTTTTTTTTGGTTAATTTTTGTTATACAGACATATTAACTTGATTTATGTACCTGTGACTACTTTAATGATTATAAGAAAAATATCTATACATATAATAAAATTGTAACTAAGCCGATTCTGTACATTAAATTATTATAGTTTTTGTTATTTATATATTTATATATAGTTATTAATATATTTTTTGTCTGTCTGTCTATTTGATTTTGATGAAATTTGAAATGATGGTATCCGGGTCAACATAAAGGACACATTTTACTGCGGGAAAATATCTCGTATCTGAGAAATCTATATAAACATTAAAACGTAAGTAGGGACGAACCCGAGCGGAGCGAAGGTGAGTCACTGGTATTATTATAAAATAAATCAATATTTTCATTTCACCAATCATCTGATTACAACAAAACATATTACTTGAGTATTTGGTGTTCGGCTGAGTAGTATCTATATTATATTCTATATCTATATTCGGTTTTACAATTACGGAATAAAACGAATACCGATTAATAGAAGAATATTCGTCGCAAGTCTAATTATAGTCTATTAACAATTAAGCATATAAGATTCATATTTAGAACATTAGAATTGAAAAATGGAATAAATTATATATAATTTTTTTATTTCAGATTACGCGTGCAGACGTAGAAGTGCAGCCTTATGCCTTCACAACAAAGAGTTTATATGTTGGACATACAGATTACAAATATTTAAGGTGGCAGGTTGGTAATAGTACTGATTTATTATTTAGTAATCATTTCTAGCAATTTTACTTATACATATTTGTTAGTAATTTTCACTTTTTAATCTTTTTTGACGTGGAACGTCTTTAAAATCACAACATGCGCGTACTAGGTCAGAAAAGTGGAGCGTAACAAGATAGGTTGCCATGGTAACCGTTGTTATTGTCTGACAATTAATTTTATATTTTCAAAACTACCTATTTAGTGTCAGTATAGTATTAAAGTAATAGGGAATATGTATGATATTTTTTTATAGAATAGCTAAAACATCATTATAAGATTGTAAAAAAAATAAGAAAAAAAAATATCGTTACCGATACGGATACTTTAAACGGCAGCCATTTCGCACCTTTGATGTGACGTCACAGTATCATACATAGAAAAATGTCGACTTTAGTTTGTAGCGACAAAATCGCTAATCGCTCTGTTATGATAATACTATGACGTCTTATTCCGTCTGACCAATGGCATACGTTTCAATTACTTTGAAGTTCCCACCTATATTTTTGCACTTTTTAATAATTATTTTCTTAATCAAAAAGAAATTACATAAAAAATATTGATACAGAAGCAATAAATATTCTATAAAAAACAACTTTATTTAAATAACACACATATTCCCTTTAAGAACTAAGTCAATGTTGTTCTCATTCCAATCTTTAATACTAAAATCGACTCGCTGAAATAGACGCTTCACGTTAAACCAACGCCGGAGTGCCCCGACACAGCAACACCCGTTTTGTTTATATTATGATTATTATATATATATATATATATATATATATATATATATATATATATATATATATAATTTATTTATTGAAATTTCAGTATATATATATAGCAGTATAATTGCAGTAGTAAAGAAACCGTGTCGCAATTATAAACGCCTTTCACCAGTAAAAATATACACAAAATATGTACATACATTCAAAAACTAATCAAAAACAACATTTACAAAAACAAAAATAAAAATAAAAACGTAAATAACAACAAAAATAAAAACAAACTTTTTAGCTAAATTAATTATAACTAGCAGACCCGGCCTCCTTATATTATATATAATTATAACTAGCAGACCTGCTCTGACACACAAATGAAAATCGTTAATTTTGCAAAAAAAAAATGAAAATAATCGCGTTAAGAACTATCCTATTTTTTAAGTTGGAACAAATCATACATGAAAAAAATATTTTAAGTTCGTATAAGTAGTTTTGGAGTTCATCCCGGACCAACATCGTGACACGGGAATTATATATATATATATATATATATATATTTTATAGGTAATAGATACGCCCGGTATTCTCGACCATCCGTTGGAGGAGCGTAACGTGATAGAAATGCAAGCTGTCACCGCCTTGGCTCATTTGAGAGCGGCTGTGTTGTACTTCATAGACCCTTCGGAACAATGTGGCCATAGTATTGAAGATCAGGTATTAAAATATATTAAATATTAATAATAATACTAATTACTAGCGACTCACCCTCGCTTCGCTGAGGTTCGTCCATAGGTTGATTCCCCATACATTTTCATCCCTATTTTCACGACCTTAAGGGATGTTTTGCGGGATAAAAAGTATCCTATGTCCTTCCCATGGTCTCAAACTAACTTCTTGCCAAATTTCATCTAAATCGGTTCAGTAGATCCAGAGATTACCCCCTACAACGCCACAAACTCATCAACTTTACCTTTTTATAATATTTGTATAGATGTGAATACTTTTTAGGGTTCCATACTTCAAAAGGATAAAACAAACCCTTATATGATCACTTTGTTGCCCGTCTGACTGTCTGCCAAGACCATTTTTCTCAGGAACGAATGCAGATATCAAGTTAAATAAAACGATAACAAAGGTTACTTACTAACTTATTAACTTGCATTCCATTGGTGCTGTAAAACATCAAACTTCTTAGTCAACGCAATATGTAAGTGCATATCGCATATTTTGACCCTCGCAAGTGAATCAAAACATATAGGGCACTTCTCGTTGACCTAGAACTATGAAATATATGAAATATTTTTTGGCAGTCGTAGCTCAGTGGTAACGCGCTAGCTTGGAAAACCGAGTGAAGCGGGTTTAAATCCCGGGTCTCGTACCTGATCACCACTTCTCTTACGGTGAAAGAAAACATCGTGAGCAAACCTGCATGTCTGAGAGAACCTAGGAAGTTTTCGAAAGACATGCTCAGACTATGGCCTGCCCATCGACATAGGCCCCACCCCCAGCAGTGAGACCGTAGAAAGGGCTAAATACATGTATGTATGTACTTGGCCCTTTTTACACCTTTTTCACCTAAATACATAGTTTTAAATAAATATAACTTTTCAGATATCTCTCTTTGAGAGTATAAAGCCTCTCTTCAGCAACAAACCGCTGATAGTTGTTTTGAACAAGATAGATGTCATCAAACCAGAAGACCTGTCGCCCAGCAAAAAGGCACTTATCGAAGAGCTAGAAGCCAAGTGTACTAAAGGGAATCTTGTCAAGTAAGTCATCTTACATTTTCTATCTTTGTATCTATAGTAAAGTGTTAAGCGATAGCTGCAGTTTAAAAAAAACTCAAGTGGGACTGGACCAGTCTAATAATGAGAATGAACAGAGAAAAATGGACGAAATATGTAATAGAATGGTATCCTAGAAAAATGGGAAAAGACAAAAAGGACATCAAATTAAAAGATGGTAAGAAGACTTGCCAAAAGGATAGAGAAGGTTAGCTTGGAACAGAGATGAATGGAAGAAAATAGAGGAGGCCTATGTCGAAGGACAACCTGACCAAAAAACTGGTTGCTGAAAATATGTTATCTTATTTCAAAATTAAATTTTAAATATTACTATGTTTTAAGTACACACATACACGTAAATCAAAACTACAAATGGTCAGCGAATAACGGCTATTGTTATTATTATAAAGCTGCAGAGTTATTTGTTTGTTTGTATGTTTGTTTGTTTGTTCTAGTTTTAATCATCTGCGAAGCTAGCTAGTCCAATTAGAAACATGATATTTACATTTTATTTAGTTAGATACACAAACAATCAGTCAAACATTGTATATTTAGAAATATTCATGGGATTTTAAACATTTTCGATACTAATTATAGCTTTACATTACAGTGCAGATACAAATTCGGAACTGAAAACCGTTCCCATAATGCGAATGTCAACCATCACAGAGGAAGGCGTGCAAGAAGTCAAGATAGAGGCGTGTGAAAGACTCCTTGGTCATAGAGTCGCTGAGAAGATGAGAACTAAGAAGGTAGGTTGATTAAACATGGTTTAATTCCAAAAAGGACAATTATTTGTCTCTCCCGTGACCATGATTGCTGTAAAGCATTTGAAACAAATTTGAATAAAAATCAAAATAAATCCTCAAAAAAAAACCCTGAAAAGTTCCATTTAGAATGTAAAATATTCGCGTGAATTTAAGTGTTATTTATAATGTTAAGACATCACACATCCCCATCTAGTTTCATGGTAAGCTACGAGGCCTGTGTTATTGATACCAGATAGTCGATACACGACACATATATAACTTTAAATACATACATATAATAAATACAAACATCCATGACTGGAGTACAAACGTTCGTGCTCATCGCACAAATGAATGCCGCTAGCGGTACTCGAACCCGCGACCGCTGGCACATCAAGTAGGATCACTACAAACTGAGCCAAACGTGTCGTCAAAATTTATTAAAGCACTTGGAAAAATTCAAAATTCATAGTATGAAAATTTGTTTGTGAGTTTTCTATATACAAAATAAATACAAAGAAAGTGTATTATACATCTACCAATAAATAAATAATTTAACTGTATACATATATAAATAAACATATGAAGCAATTCAACAAATAGATTAGAGAAAATACTTCATAAGTAAGTCTCCGAAACGGCTAGACCGATTTTGGCGGGACTTTCACTGGCAGATAGCTAATGTTATAAAGAATAAAATATTCTACTTTTATTTTTGAAAAAGAATTAGGGCTCCGCTAAAAAAAAAAAACATACCTAGGGACTTTACCTCGCTTTGCTTGGGTGCATCCCTAGTGTAAAATAAGTATAAAGAATTTTCTTTATACTTTTTTTCTTTATTCTCAGTAAATCTTGCTTGCTTATATCTTCTAACAATTTCTTCTCATTCCAGGTGGATGGTATATTAAACCGCTTGCACGTGGCAATACCGACGCCTCGCGACGGTAAAGTACGAGCTCCGGTCATACCACCCTCTGTACAACTCAAACTCCAACAGAAGGAAGCAAAGGAGTCGAGGAAAAGGAAGCTGGAGAGGGAAATCGAAATTGAAATGGGCGATGATTATGTACTTGGTGAGTTATTTGTGGGGTTTTTTTAATTAAGTAGGCAATGGCAGCCCTTGGGAAACCATAGAGGATTCACATCTAGCACCTCTGATATATTCATGTGCGAATCATTTCCCATATGATTATCACTTGTCTTACGATAAAAGAAAACTTTGTGAAGAAACCTGCGTGTCTAAAAGAACCTAGCAAGTGTTCGAAAGGCACGTGAAGTCCAAGCCAACTTTTATTGGGTTAGCGTGGTGAACTACGCCCTGATCCCCTCGTATTGAAGGGAAGCCCACCCCCAACAGTGGGACGATTAAAGGGGCTGAATGCAAAAGTTTAAAAGGATCAAAGACAAGGACGTATTTTTTTAAAGTTATTTACTTTTTAATTGACTTTTTTTTGTTATCTCTATTTTTATTTAGGGACTTCTATCCTTTCAGGACATGTCAGTCTCATTGTACCCTTATGTGGTTAAATAATAACAATATAACAATTTAGCTGACTTAATTATTTGAAAAACTACGTAATTTTTCGTATTTTTTCTTAGTTTTCAGCTCGGAAATTTAACTGATCTCTTGGCAATCTGCCGGCCTTCTCGAACAAAGAACATTCTAGTATTCCAAAATTCGAAACCTTTCTAGTAATTTTGATTCGTTTCTGGATAATTTTTTGTCCCTCTCTTATACACGACAATTTACGATTAGCTGTCTTTGTCTATTCATTGTCATGTGTTGGCAACTGTCTTAGGAGTATAAAGCATGTTTTAGAAGTGCCGTTTTTAATTATTATTTTTGGTTGACATAATGACGTTTCACACTCTCCACTGTGTGACAATACCTTATATACTTATAGGATAGTCTCATATGATTAAGTTTCTTTCGCCAGACCTTCGGATTGAGGCTTTTTTATTTTCGAACTGGTGATACTCGTTACATTCAGCAAAAATGTTTTTATAACTTTAATGCTAAATCAATTTTAATGATAAATCTAGAATCTTGAATTTTTATATATATATTTCTATTAAAAAAATCATCTGTGAAGTAACATTTTTAATTAAAAATAAATTGTACTATGCATCAAATGAATATTATTTTTTTTATTTTGGGACATTAACACACAGCACCATTAATTAGTTCCATGGTAAGCTACAAGGCTTGTGTTATGGATACCAGATATTATAAATATAAACACCAATGACTGGATTACAAACATTCGTGCTGATCACACAAATGAATACCCCCAACGGGACTCGAACCCACGACCGCTGGCACAGCAAGTAGGATAACTACAAACTGAGACAAACGTGTCGTCAAATATTTACATTATATACAAAGAAAATAAAAATTTAAATGTCTGTTTTCAGATTTACAAAAGAACTACACAGAGATCGCTGAAGACGAACGCCACGACCCTATACCGGAGTTCTGGGAGGGACACAATATTGCCGATTATATTGATCCTGAAATATTTGATGTAAGTTATTTTGTTAATAATTATATATTATATCAGCAGTACCCGCGGGCTTCGAAGGCGTTCAAACTACTAAAAAAAAAACTCTTTGACACATCGACAGCAGCGCCACCTACCGGATCCAATTGTGTTTTCAAACTATCCAGGAGCCTATTGATATATACACACGAAATTTCATCCAAATCGCTCCAGCCCTTTACGAGAAGTAAGGCAATAAAATATAATACTAGTATTGCCCGCGGCTTTGCCCGCGTTCAGATGACGAAAATCCAAATTTTTAGGTTTTACATATTAGTATACTCTTACATTGCAGTTTTTGTATTTTTTGTCAGAAATGAGATATTTTCCCGCGGTAAAAAGTATCCTATATGTTGACCCGAATAACCAGCTATCACTATACCAAATTTCATCAAAATCCCTCCAGTGGTTATTCTGTGATGCGGTAACAGACAGACAGACAAAAATTCTAAAAACTGTATTCGGCCTCTGTATCGATAATAATGTCTATTTCAATAAGATTTTCCAAAAAATATTTAATATACAGATTCGGCTTAGTTACAATTTTATTATATGTATAGATTATATAACTATGTAAGCTATTGTATATATATATATATATATATATATATATATATATATTTTAAATCACGCATATTCCATATTACAACATATAATAAAAATAACGTGTTTTTAACAGAAACTGGCCGAACTAGAGAAGGAAGAGGAGTTGAGAGAACAGGGAGGAATGTATGCGGTGCCCAAGATAGAGTTAGACGAGACTATGAAGGAGATACGAGAGCTTGCCAGACAAATACGGTGAGTTATATATGTATACTGTTAAGAAACCTTTGTAAAAAGCGTTTTTTTTTTGGAAAAGATACTTACCTATATAGATAAACTTAAAATGTAAAACCTTATATAAAAACAAAATTTGATTAAAATCGTTAGAGCCGTGACAAAATCAAACTTTTAAGTCAACGCAATCAAAAGATACGGACGTGTGTTCCCGCATATTGATGACACTCGCAAGAGAATCAAAATCTAAATGGTACTTTTCGTTGACCTAGAACCATGAAATTTGGCAAAAAGCTATGTTATAGCACAAGTATAGGAAAAAATTCGAAAACCGTATATCTTTTTTGCATTTATAAACTAACTAACAGAACCCGCGGCTTCGCTCGCACTAAAACTACAAAAATATCTCTAAAAAGGTAGGTTTCATACAAACTTTTATACTCTATTTTACCCCCTTATAGGATGAATTTCGAAAAATGCTAAAACACGTATTTATTCATTTGTACTGAAGAGTATTAATATCAAGTTTCAAGTAATTCTGATCACAAATAATTTTTTGGTTTGTTTTATAATGTGTTTTCCCGTGGGAATAAAATAATCTCTCGCGGTAAAAAGAGCCTATGTCACTTTCCAGCCCTACAACTATCTTCACACAAAAAATCACGTCCATCCGTCACTCTGTTTCGACGTGAAAGAAGAACAAACAAACAAACAAACACACTTTCACATTTATAATATTAGCGTGGATTTTAATGTTTGATGCTATGAAGCCGTCGTGTGCGAGTCAGACTCGTCTGGGTTTTTTTACTCATTTAGTTACATTAATAATGATTATAGTTGAATATTGAGAACTGAACGAACACAAGTTGAAATAAATGTAATCTACACCACTATTATAAAAGGTTAGTATGTTTGTTGTAACGAATAAACTCAAAAACTATTGAACCGATTCAGATGAAATTTGGTAAGACGATAGTTTGAGACTCTGGGAAGGATATAGGATATTTTTTATCCCGGAAATCATCCCTTAAGGGGGTGAAAATGGGAATGAAAGTTTTGTATGAGGAATCACCAGTATTTTTATTATTTAGTATGTAAGTAAGTTTATTTATCGCTAAATCGGGCCCGATCGAAGCTGAGTATAATTTTATATTTTGCATCAGTCAAAACGAGGCCAATATAAAAAGTATGGCTCTATGGTCGTGTTCTGAACTTTTTTGTGTACAGAATGCATTACCCGAGTCAAAAACATTGTTTTATTTAGAGAGGTTAGATTATGCCTATAATTGCATATCTTAATTATATAGTCCACTAGTGAAACGGGTTCGAATCCCGGGTCTCGCACCTCTGATAATTTCATGTGCGAATCATTTCCAACATGATCACCACTTGTCTTACGGTGAAGGAAAACATCGTAATCAAACCTGCATGTCTGAGAGAACATAGCAAGTTTTCGAAAAACGTGCTCAGTCCGCCCGCACTTGGCCAGCGTGGTGGACTATGACCTGAACAGTGGGACGTTACAAAAGGCTGAATACATATAAATAATAATTTTGTCCGTCCATCAGTAACAAGAAGGCGGTTCTCAAGGACGAATCCCGTCTAGTGAAACAGTCCACCAAGCCGGTGATGCCTCGTACGAGCCGCGCGAGGGACCGCGACCGTTCTACAACCAAATTACGAGACGAAATGGAGAAATTGGGTGAGATTTTCTTTTTTTTTTATTATTTAACACTTTCTCAGATTTACGCGAATATTTGACATTTTAAATCAAACCTTATGTTTTCGATTTTTTCTCGCGGATTTATTTTGATTTTTGGTTGTCGTCTATAACACGTCGGGAACTAAAAATCAAAATAAATCCGCGAAAAATACGAAAAATAGTTCTTTTTTATTTATTAATTTATATATTTTTTATCTAAATTGATTAGGTTGAATGACAGTATGGTTTAAGTCACTGGTTCCGAAAGTTGACTAGATCATGATATTACCAAAAACTTTCTAATTCAATATCCATCTCTTGGCTGTTATTAAGGCAAAAGTGACATATACTCGTATTAATGAATGACTGTTCAAATAAGGAAAACATATATTTAAGTTGCCATCGAAAATTTCGATAATTAATTAAATACTAAGCATTGCTATTTCAATAAGAAGTTTTTTATTTGTTGACTTTACTTGGGGTCATCCAGTCTTTTAATTGCTGATATAAGTGATTTTTTTAAATCATCATATGTCATATTTGTTTATTGTTTTTTGACCGATTTTGTTTTTTTTTATATTGGATAGATACGATAAATATCTGTTTCATTTTTAAATATTTTGTATATAATAAATACTAATAAATAAAAAATATATTATAGTAAACATCAAATTCTACTTGTGAATATAATAATGGGACACAGATTAAAAATGAAAATGAAATTATAGTTTTTTTTTAATATTTTATTATTATTATTAAGCGAGGCCTGATCGAAGCTGAGTAAGATTTTATATTTTGCATCAGTCAAAACGAGGCCAAAATAAAAAAGTATGGCTCTATGGTCGTGTTCTGAACTTTTTTTGTGTACAGAATGCATTACCCGAGTCAAAGACATTGTTTTATTTAGAATTAATTCTAATATTTATTGTTAATATAATCTATACAGATAAATAAAATTGAAGTGTTTGTTTGTAATGTCAAAATAACAGCGTTGTAGTAAATATGTATGAAAATTATATAAGGTAAATATAAGAAAAACCCAATTTTTTAAATGTTTGTCTGTCTGTCTGTTTGTTTCGGATTATATCCGAAATGGATGGACTGATTTTTATGGAACTTTCACTGGCAGATAGATGATGTTATAAGGAGTAATTTAAGCTACTTTTATTTTAGAAAAATAAATTAAACCGTAACTAGTGACGCACCCGAGTGAAGCGAGAGTCGCTAGTATACTATCAATGTGTTGTAGATACGATTAAGTGCCCATAATTTTTGTGTTTAAATGTTTTTTTGCTTTTTCAATAATAATGTCATTTATATTTAAAAAAAAATAGATATATTTTTTAAATAGATTAATGTAAAGTCGAAAGTTTACAATTGGATGTGTTTGTTACTTCTTCATGCGTGTGAATGAAATTCGTAAAGAAAATGAATACTTAACTACACTTTACTAAGGGCTATATTTAGTGTTAGTCCCATGTAGTTATTCAATTCAAAATATAAAAAAAAATATTACAATTATTTACCGAACGTCATTGTTCACTACGAGTATCAGTTCGGAAAGTTAAATAGAAACCAGTTGTATAATATCTAACCGTATCCCCACTCCCAGGCGTGGACATGTCGGAGACGAAGAAAGCCCACTTTACACGCACTCGCTCGCGCTCCCGCTCCCAGTCCGCGCCGGTGGCGAAGCGCGCGCGTGTGGAGTCTCGCACACGCTCGGTCAGCCGCCCAGCGCGGGACGAACAGGGCGTGAAGGATGTTGCTGTAAGTATACACATATAAACACACAAATACACACACATACGCATATTCATACTTGTATACATACATGCACACACACACACAAGGGCGCGCACACACTTCATATCTTCATGCTATATCCATTCCATTCACTCTTCAACACTATTATACATAAACATACATTTTGTAATAAAATATTATTTATAGAATAAATAAATATATTGGGATATTAACACACATCAACATCTATAGTCTGTTTTTTAATCTCAGAGACCAAACTGACATTACGTGGGTTGCCAGTTTTTTGCAACTCTTAAATAGTGATGTGCCACTATCGAAAGTTAACATAAATAAGATCAAGTATCGTTTTTTTATACATAATAAGTTCGTTTTTTTTAATAAGTTATCCTGAAATAATGCGTAGGTATTTATTTAAAATGTAATAATACATAATAAATAACGCAAATTTAGAATTAATAATGTGAATTTTAATGATATACTTTGGAATATAAAACTTTGAAGCGAATCGTCTAATAAAGATAAAAAGTTACGATTCAACAAACCGGTATCGTAGGTACAACACTGCACATAAGAGCTTGCAGCATTTTTTGTAAATTTGACATTTGCATGTGTCTATTTAGTCTCTGAGATTAAAAAAACAGACTATAGTTCCATGGTAAGCTACGAGGCTTGTTTTATGGATACCAGATAGTTGATACACTACATATATAACATTGAATACATACATATTATATAAATATAAACACCCATGACAGGAGTACAAACATTCGTGCTCATCACACAAATGAGTGCCCCCAGCGGGACTCGAATCCGCGACCGCTGGCACAGCAAGTAGTCACTACAAACTGAACCAAACGTGTCATTATTAATGTTTTGTAAAAAATGGCCACCAATGATGAGAAAATAATATATACCTGGTGTTTTGATTTACAGTGATATAATCTTTGGATATATCTGAGGTGTCCTACACTATTAAGTTTATACTTAAAAATTAAAAAAATATAAAAGAATGCTTAATGTAGCAAAAACTAAAACAGACGTGTGTGTGTGTACTTATATACGCTCGTAAGAAGTTATACTTGTTTGACGTAACAGAACAAAAGTAGCTAAAGATTTCATCCCGTATGTCACAATTCCCTGTTTGTAAAAGGAATGCAGCTCACTTCCTCATCGTCTTAAAAATTTTACCCTAATATTTTTTTCCGAACGTCCCAAAAGAAGTATAACTTCAAAAAATCTAATATAGTGATAGTAGGACGGGTTTCAATATTTTATTACATGTCATTTTGACAAATGTGACAGATTATAAATTGCATATTGTACTTGTTTTTTTTTAATACAGATGCAAAGAAAGGCAAAGAACCTCGCTCATTTGGCCATCTCCAAGAAGACAAAGAAAATGGGTCTCAAGGGAGAGGCGGATCGTTTCATCGGAACAAAACGTCCCAAACATCTGTTCTCTGGAAAACGTGGCGTTGGCAAGACGGACAGACGATAATTTATATGTATATACAATATACATACATATACTTTGGCATATGATAATAATAATAACAAGTTTGAAGTTTTATTTATACCTTAGTCATGATAGTAAAATATTAATATATCCGCGACGGCCAAGGAGACGGTGTGTGTGTGTTTCTGTTACCGTTTATCTCGGAAACGGCTAGGCCGATTTTGAAACGGTTTTTTGCTTTGTATAAGCCATACCAGAGGATGTTCTTGGCTAAGTTTTATAAAATTACAGACAGTCACTCCGAAACGGTTATTTTATTTTATATTAAAATAAATATATTGTATTTACTATTAAAATAAAAAAAGCCACGAATAAAACAAATTAAAAATTAAAAAATCCACGACATTCATAGTTGTCGTGCGTAACCTGTGTTGTCGAATGCACATTAATTAACAATAAAGATACTGGCACATGTGACATAATATGTACACTGTACACGTACAGTCTACAACATAAGTTACGCACGACGGCTATTAATAATCTATACATGTAATAAAATTCTGAGTCGAATCTGTACATTAAATATTTTTTGGAAAATCTTATTGAAATAGTCATTATTATCGATACAGAGGCCGAATCTATAGTTTTTAGAATTTTTGTATGTCTATCTATCTGTTTGTCTGTGACCGCATCACGGAAAAACCACTGGAGGGATTTTGATGAAATTTGATATGGTTATAGCTGGTTACCCGGGTCAACATATAGGGATACTTTTTACCGCGGGAAAATATCTCATCTCTGAAAAATTCATAGTAAACGTTAAAACGCAAGCACGTATTATTTTATATTGCTATAATGTCGTGGGATTTTGATATTTTTTATTTTATCGCCATTTATAATAAACATGTATATATTAAAAAGTTTGAATCTGTTGTTTTTATCTCATTTTGGACTAAAAGTCCTGCGAGATAAATTATATTACTTCTGATTGATAAAGAAATCTGATAATTGGGGAAAAATATATATAAATGTAGGCAAAGAATCTGTTCTATACAAAAAATAGTGCTTGTGTTAACCCTATTACTAAGGCTCCGCTGTCCGTCCATCCGTCTGTCAGAAGGCCGTATCTCATGAATCGTAATAGGTAGGTAGAGAGTTGAAATTTTCTCAGAGTATGTATTTCTATTGCCGCTATAACAAAACAGTACCTGGTCGTCCGAGCTTTTCTGAAATAAAAACCTCGAAAACACGTGTTTTCCCAGACATAAGACTAATCGAGATCGATTTTTCGCCCCTGAAAACCCCCACATACCTACCAAATTTCAGCGAAATGGTTAGAGCCGTTTCCGAGATCGCCGGTATATATAAATAAACAAGAATTGTTCGAATAAATATATCAAGATTAGATAATATTTTTTTTTTAACCGACGTAATCGATCTATCATCAAAGTTAATTTACAACATACATAGAGTAAAAATCATATTAATAAAAAGTACATGTACGATGGTTCGGAAACCTTCGTGTGTCTTCGACTCGCACTTTTATACTATATTTTTTATAAGTTAACAATGAAATAAAGATTTTTTTTTCTATTACCATAGATGTTACTTTACAAGTAAAAATGCCTCATCCCATACAAATATATTGGACACTAATTCGGGCTACTTTTGTTTGCTTGAAAAGACAATAGATATCGTTGAGCCAAAAACTTTCTGCTTGTTTCTTAATACGTGTACTGGAATATGTAGTAAACATCACAATTCATTTTATATGGGCTGGATACAAACATATATGTATTCAGCCCTTTCTAACGTCCCACTGCTGGGGGTGGACCTCCCTTCAACACGAGGGGGATCAGGCCATAGTCCACCACGCTGGCCAAGTGCGGGCGGACTGAGCATTTATTTCGAAAACTTGCTAGGTTCTCTCGACATGTAGATTTTCGATGTTTTCCTTCACCGTAAGACGCGTGGTGATCATGTTGGAAAATGATTCGCACATAAAAATACAAAAGTGCGAGACCCGAGATTTGAACTCGCTTCACTCGGTTTCCCAAGCGAGCGTGTTACCAATGAGCTACAACTGCCTCAATCCATTTAGCATTTCATAAAATAAAACGTCACGTGGTAGACAAGTAATAAATCATGAACAGTGACATCTATCAATACAACATACAACCATACTCTTTGCCTAATAGGTGAATAATCTATATATATAAAAATGAATCACCGAAATGTATGTATGCACCAAATTGGATAATTCTTTTTTTTGTTTTATTGTTAGGAAGTTTTGTTTAGAAGAAAATTTTTTTTTTCTAAATAAGTTTTTTTAATCCTCATGATATGAAAAGTGAATGATCGGAATGCTTTTTATCCCGGATATCATCCCTTAAGGGGGTGAAAATAGGGATGAAAGTCTGTATGGGGAAGCAAGCAGGGACGAACCCGAGCGAAGCGAGGGTGGTTCGCTAGTTATTACATAAACCAAATTCTAACAAAATTATATATAATATAACCATCTTGGCATCATCAAATATAGTCGAACTCAAGTTACAAAGAATTTATTAAAATAAAAGCTAAAAAATAAATCTCGAGTGTTGGATATGAAAATGTCTACAAGCCACAACACAGTAAAGTATCTACTATATCTGTACATACTACGCAGGTGAAGGCCCTTTGAGGTGTAATGCAATTTCACGTGAGATGCAATCTCAGTCCTGCTATCCTGTGATACTAAGTGAACAACTTTGAGCTCGTGCCTTCATATTTACCGTGTTTTAAAAGATTTTTTAAAGTAAATCTAAACGAGCTTTGAATTTTATAACTACATCGAAAGTCGTTGGTTTGAATCTGGGATGATCAGTACTTTATACTTGTAACGCGTACATCGATTTCGCTAAATTACTGTTTTATTATATGTATAGATAATTTTCTATGACAATCATTTAGATGTTATTTTGGTACTATTAATAAAATTAGTGTAACATATTACTCTCGGACACCTGAGCGCGGACACACAGACCGACAGAAAGCTCGCAATTATTTTGATAGATCTAACATTGTCTTGATTAATGAAATATATAATATATCTAGAGATAAGAAATTTACTGTGTAGGGGAGAGTGGGGTAATTACGAACACCTAAGGGAAAAATGGAATAATACAAAACTGCATACATTTACAAAAGCTATTTATTGTATAGTTTATACTACAACTAATCAATCTTTTATTCTCATAGTCAAAAATGATTAATTTTAGAATAAAATCATATTTTTATAAAAAAAACAAAATTATTAGTTCCGAGATTACCCCACACCATGTGGAGTAATTGTGGATGGTAAGAGGGGTAGTCACGAACACACTCTAATTAATACAAAAATTACACAAGAAGCCCTCTGAAGTACTTCCCCCACCCGTGCACTTCTCATGGACCCATAATTTGCATTTGTAACATGAAATCCAATCTTCGGTGATCGGCTCCACATATTTTTCATCGCAAATCAAACAATAATAATCTTGATTATTCTTCAAAGCACTTTTATAAAAAAAATTCCTCTTTTTCTTGTTGTTTTAAATTCTTTTTTTCTATTTTTTTGTTTTTTTCTAATTATTTTTCTTGTTCTTCAGAAAATATAGTTTTTCTTCCTGTATTTGGAGTTTTAATTGCGTCTTTCTTGAGATAGTATTTTTGGGACGGAATAAATAGTAACTGCTTTTCCCAGTGTCAGTGTTTTACTATTAACAGCTTGAATAGCTCGCTTCAAATCTTCTAATTTATACTTAGTCTCGGTTTTTTAGTGATACTTTCTTGGTATCTGAGAAATTCATTTATAATTATTTCAAAGTTTATTAACTTACATTTTCATGCACTTTTTTGTAATAATAGACGCCTCGATTAATTTATGTGTTGTAATAATTATAAAATAAAAAGTCATTGCAAAATAAAAACCTAGCAACCAATAAATTTATTGTTTTGGGGTAATTATGGACGTTCACGTTTACCCCACTCAAATCGTTCGTCATTACCCGACTCACAAAGAAATGAAAAATAAATCTTTTTTTAAGGTTAGAATCGCGCAACGCACTTTGCGGGTTTTTGAAAACATTGTTTAATTAGATGTTATTTCACAAAAATATTTACAGATTTTTCTATTTATTTTTTTCTATTAAACACACATAATTATAAGCAAAAATAACATGAAATTGTTGAAAAATCATCAAGTTAACTTACCTTGCACACTGAGTGCGCTTTCTCATCAGCTCTCACAGTTTGGTACTAGTGGCGGACCCATCTCACTATCATGTCATTCAAAATATTTCGTTTCTCTTCCTAACATAGCCAAACTGGCGTGTCCGCCATTACCCGCCGTCCGTGATTACTCCACTCTCCCCTTTTATTATCAGTTGTTTTTAAAATTATATCCATCTGTTTAAATACGGTTAAAAGTACCAACTATTTATAAGCAATGCTGTTTTAACCCATGCACACAAAAATTTAGGATAGCTTCTAGAAAGTATGATATTTTTTTTGTGAATTACAAAAAAACACGACGTAAAATGTAAACTAAAAAGACGGGAACAAGTTGACGACCAAACAATATTAAGGAGTTTTATTTTAGTACTTTGTCGGCGTGACTAGTATGTATATCCATGCTAAATTACAGCTTTCTAGTACTAAGAGTTTCTGAGTTAAGCTGCGGACAGACGGACGGACATGGCGAAACTATAAGGGTTCCTTGTTGATTGCGGAATCCTAAAAACGAAAGCGAACTAAATAAATGTTAAACTTTCAATTCGTTGGAACATTTTTATTAAGAAACTAGCATTGCTCGCGGCTCCGCACGCGTTTAAATGACCAAAAACCAAATTCTTAGGTTTTACATAAATGTATTAGTATTCTCTTACAATGCAGTTTTTGTATTTTTTCTCAGAAATGAAATATTTTCCCGCGGTAAAAAGTATCCTATATGTTGACCCGGATAACAAGCTATCATCGTACCAAATTTCATCAAAATCTGTCCAGTGGTTTTCTTGTGATGC